GCATTCCAATTCACTTGTAAATTTAAACGATGAATTCCGCTTTATTTTGTAAAATTCAAATAATGCAGTCTTGTTGTAATCCTTCATTCTTGATTCAATTTGAATTTGTTTCTAAGACTTGCAAAATCTGAATATTCTTTGACATAATTTAAATTACGAGCACGAATTGGATTCTTCTCAGTGGCCCATGAACTTAAAAAAATGCCTCTTGAGAAATGAATGAGACTTGAATCTTGATGAAATATGAAACCCCTATTTGTGTGATTTGAAAATATGTCTTGCTCGGTAACTTGAACCTCAAGAAATCCAATGCTTTTGTAATTTGTATTTCAAGTAAAACCAGAGCGCCTTATCTTTCAAACTTTAAATCAAATTCATTCAAAATGACATCGTCTGCCATGCCTGATTAGAATGGAACTTCACTGTCAAACAAACATGTTTTGGGGAATATTTGTCAATCTTGTAGAATTAACCAACTTCAACAAACTGCGGTTAAGAACACTTAGAAATCAACTAAAGTCTTGCGACGATTCAAATTTTTTTAAAAGTCTTCCAACACAATAAACTCACGTGTGACATCACTTATGACCATAAACAGGAATAATCATCTCAAGGTCTTGTAATTTGAAGAAATTACAATTCTTAGAAATCAGACGACTGTTATTTGAAATTAGATCAAACTTCACGATGCGACTTCTAACGCACTCGAATTTTGGTGATCTTCTACGCGTAATTAATTCTTGATTTGTGAAGAGAAATTGGAGATAGCATCAAGGATAATCGTACGCAAGAAAAAACCACTCAAAAATATTGAATAATGAAGAAGTTTTACAAGCACTTGAACTTGTTCTCGCAAAAGGGTTGATTTTGGGGTTGTTGTAGTTATTTTCAGTTATTTAGACCATTGGTTGAGCAAACTTGTACTGCTAGGTCTGAAAACTGGTTTAAACAACTCTGAGGAGACATGAAGACCTATGAAAATCATTTGAAACCTTGAGGGCTCAATTTTCTTTGAGAAGCGCCAAACCCTAATTGCTGATTGTTTGCCTAGGAAGAGAATCTGCTTGATCAACTTTTGAGCCAAATTGAGTGTTTGAGGAACCCTGGGATAGCATCCTGAGTGGAAAATGGGAGGGCAAATTTTGGGGTACAACACTGATGATAGAATTTTATTTTTAGACTTGGAAAGTTACCCTCCTCGATACAGAGTGTAAGAATAAACATCTTTGTAAGAGACACACTACTTATCCACCTAAAACTTTAAGGTGATAAGTGAGTGGGTTCTCTCATTTATATATTGTCAAGTCTCTACATTTCTATCTAATATATTATTCCAACACCCCCTCAAGTATGAGTCCATAATACTCTCCTACTTGTACTGTCGTTGACATCTTAGAACGGGACACTACTTGCTATATTATTCTAATAGTGATCCATTGATTGAGTTTGATTTGGATGAGTATAGATAAAAGTAATGATGCATTATAAGTCCTCTTCTATTTATGATTACTTAGCTTGTAATATAACATAATTTAAACTTAAAAGATTGGGACAACTATTCTTAACCAATGCTTAAAACCATGTTTTATTCTAAGAATGGAAGTTTTAAAACTGTGTTTTTGTTAAACAGAAATTGTATCCATTGGTGTATGAGTTCTCTGTTTAAAGTAATGGTCGAATGAATGGTCTTTCATGGCTAGATGAGAAAACAGTTCAGCCTGTCACTTTCCTATGTTTTTATATTATTAAAAATTTATTCATTTGTTTATCTATTATTACTAGAAGTAACAATTAATCTATTTTTTGAATTATGTATAAAATTATTTAAAATGATAATTTATTTACATATAATCAATTGCATTACAAATATAAATTTATTTACTTAATAATTAGTAACAATTATTTAAAAGTTTTAAAAAAAAATTCATTTAATATGATCAATTGCATTACGAAACTAAATTTGTCAATTCATATTAGTGCATATAAATAAATTAAAAATTTCAATTAAAATTATAAGTTATTTTGAAAATTTCAAGAAAATATTAGTATCTATTTTTAATCATATCATTTATTATTGATTTTTTTCACGATATCTATTTTAATTTAATCAACCATTATTTTAATTTGAGAGATAAAATACTAATTTTTAAATATTATTTTTTCTCTAATTCATGATTCTTTTTTCTTCTTCTTTTTGTATGATTATTTAATACACTTAAATTTATATGATTATTGTTCAATTTACAATTAACTAAATTATTTCATATTTTGCATTTTATTTAAAATTTTACATTTGGATTTGTTAAAATTTTATTTTTTTTCTTCAACTCACATGTCCTTTTTTATATGGTTATTTAATACATTGAGTTTTTATGATCATCTACTATCAAATAATTACCTATTCAATTGACCATGCTACCTATTACACACAAAATTAGCACATGAATACGAAATAAAATATTGGGTTAAATGTTCATCTAGTAGTGAGATTTGATTTGTCCCCTTTTAAAAAAAATATTATTTTCGCTCCTCAACAAACATAAATTTCATAACCAAAAATCTTTTAGCCCAAGATTTCATTTGAAATGTCGGCGTGGCCAGGATCTGTTTGCTGACTAGGTCATGTATGCCACCGTGGACTGGTTATATCTAAGGGCATTACTTATAACATACTTGTTATCTTGATTCCCCCCTTGAAAATCTAGGGTTTACTTTCAGACAAACTTAGGAAGCTGATAATGGGGAACAAACATGCAGCGAAGAAGAAGAAGCACCCGGAACAATCGAAGCATTCAAGGAAACCGAAGAAGCACGACAAAGAAGGAGCTTCTGTTGATGGTGAAAAGGTAAGTTTTTTCAGCGTCTTGTTTGTTTACTCATACATACAATTAAATGTTAACTTTTTTAATATTTTCCCAAATGATTTCAGAATAATCAACTGTTTAATGTTGTATTCCACCATGGAGGTGAATTTGTAATGTTGAATAATGAGGTTACGATTTACAGAGGGGATGTAAATTCAGAGGATTTTGTTGATCACTGTTATTATAGAGACAAGTATGCAATCTGCTATAGTTTTTTTGTGAGTCCAATTAATGGTGAGAAAATATGGCCAGAAGTTCAGTCAGAGGAGATTTTACCCCCTATGTATAAGAAAGGTCCAGGCAGACCAAGAAAGTTAAGGATAAGGAAGTGTGATGAAGAGGATGCTAGAAGGAAGAGATTGCCAGGTGTTTCTTACAGATGCACTAAGTGTGACAAATTTGGTCACAATGCTCAAACATGTTAATGCATAACACAAGATCCTAATGGACTAAAGAGAAAGATATGACAAGTGTGTATTTTGAACTGACATATCATGTATTTTGAACTAACAAATAATGTGTTTTATTTTTATAGAGGAAGGCCAAGGTAGGTACAACCATACAACCTGATGATGTTGAACAAGCCGGTGCATCTGATGCAACTGAGGCACCAATACAATCTAATACAACTGAGGCACCCAAACAAATTGGTGAAACTCAAACTGCAGCAACTGAACCAGTTGACTATTTTGGAGACATAACTGATGATATCATTTCAAGCATTCCTGAGATCAACACAACACAGTGTTCTGCTGTGGTTGGTAAACCAGACAAAAAGGGAAAGACAAAAGTGAAAGATGCCAAGTCAGTGAGAAAGAGGTCTAGTGAAAGAATAAAATTCAAGTGGTTTCAAAAACCAATCACAGGGTCAGGTTCAAACTCCGAGCAACCTATGTATTTGACAGAAGAAGAAGGGAGTGGTTCTAAACGTGCAAAGAAGAAATCTAAGAACTAGTCTTATGTCTGTATTGTTTATCTTGTCTATTAGATACTTTAATTATGACTCCTAAGTTTTGTTATAGATTGTGTCCTTAAGTTAAGACTTCTGCATTTTGTTAAGCTGTTATTCCCTATTGTAATGACTTTGGCATTTTGTTCTACTTATGCCTTAATGTAATGACTCATTTAGTATTGGTTTCAACTGATAAGGTTATTTAATGATTTCAACTGGTAATACAATATTGTAAGAAAAATGAAACACTCTTATTGAATCAAAGTTGACATTAAACAAACATCATATTGCATTGATGTAACTTACACTTCAAATTACATATAGTTGTACAACACTACAAAGATATTACAAATACACATTACACTTCACTTCTGCAAAAATATTACAAATACACATTACACTTCAAATTACAAAGAGTTGTACAACACTGCAAAGATAAACCAAGACAACAAAATTTCCATATTCAGTTGGAATATTTTCCTCTTCAATGCAACTATCTTCTACTTGGATTTTTCCAGTTTTCTTTATATCAATTCAAACTTCACTATTGCCATAACACAGTGTTTGAAATAAATTTCAGAATTTGAGATTTCACTAATGGAGTGAGAAATTTCATCATCCCAAATAAACAGATCACAACTATTGGCCATCTGCAAACAAAAACAACATTAACCCTATAAAAAGTTTAGTTATTTCACAAACCTCATAGATTCAAGCACTTACCCCAACATTCCTATATTTCTAGAATTTCCTATTAATATTTTTTACGGTGTTAGCAAACCACATCTTCATCGGACGAAAACACCCACATCTAGGAACCCTTGAATGCTCGTACGAATTGCAATTTCCAACACTCTTGCTAGCATTCATTTGAACATCTTAGGGTTATCAGGGAACAAATTGGGGGAAGAAGCGACAATAGAAATGATTTAAGACGGTAGGGAGAACCCAAATAGTAGAAAAGAATTGAATGTCCACATCCAAAATGTCTTGCTTAGCGATATCCCAGTATTTTTGAAAAACACTGCACTAAAACCGTCCGGCCCCGAAGCACTGTCACTATTAAGGCTAAAAACCGCAACATATATTTCTTTGATTGAAGGGAGGTTTGTCAGCATACAATTCTCTGCCTCATTTAAAAAAGGAGGAATAATGGTATTCACTAAATTGGTATCTTGAGAAAAATGATTGTTAGAAGAAAATTGGTTCTCGAAATAGTTGACAGTGTGAGAAGCAATCTCCACCGGGTCAGTAAGAGTTCTATCTCCATCTTTGAGCATGGAGAGAGGCCTGTACTTTTGTTTAATATTTGTGATGCGGTGAAAGTAATCCGTGTTGAGGTCACCATCAGAGCTCCATTTAACTTAGGCCTTACTCCACCAGAAATACTCCTCCATGGCAAGGGCGTAGGAAAGAATGGATTGAGCTGCATTTTCTTGACGCCTAAGAATGTCATTAGTATCGTTGTTCTGAATATCCTACTGAATAATAACCAAGTCCGCCTTCGCTTTTAGAAAAATTATTCGTGATGTTACCAAAAATATTTCTATTCCAGCCTTTAAGATCCCTCTTCAAAAGTTGGAGCTTCTTAGAAAGGACAAACATAGGGCATCCAACAATCCTTTGAGACTAAACAAAGTTTATCACTGATTTGCAGCCATCATGTAAAGTCTAAGAGATAAGGAACTTAAATTGAGAAACCGACATAGCAGAGTTAATTTGAAAATCCAAAAGAAGAGGATAGTGGTCAGAACTGACTTTAGGCGGAGAGGAAACCGCAATAGACGTGTAAGCATTGACCAAAAGAGAGTTCCCAATACAACGATCTAACCTTCTCTAAACAGAAAAATGATAATCTCTCTTGTTGGACCAAGTGAACCTGGCTTCAGAAGCGGGAAAATGAATAAGACTATTGATGTCAGTCCAATTTTGAAAGTCTACCATAGGCCTTTTCGCAGGACTGTTCTTGCCCCTATATTCATGAGCCCCGATAATTGTGTTAAAATCACCAAAAAAGCCCAAGGAAAAGAATGAAGAGAGTGAAGATAAAATAGATCCTTCCAAAGCTCCATCATTTTATAAAGATTAGTAGAACCGTAGACTGCAACCACCGCCATCAAACAATTGTTGAAAGTGAAATTAAAAGATATAAATTGATCAAACAAAACAATAATCTTCGGGTTGTAATCCTCTTTGAAAAGACACCAAAGAGAAGGTTTGTCCATGATACTGAAAGAAAAAAGTTTTAGACCAATTCTAAAAAACCAATTTTTAGGAAACTTAACAAAATCAATCTTCGGCTCAACAATAAACAGAAAATCAGGATTGTGCAATTTTAGAAATCTCTTCAAGGCTAATCTAGAGGAAGCCTTAACCACGCTTCTTATGTTCCAATAAAGGCACTTCATAGAGACGTTTTCTTTGTCACTGCTTGGGACCTAGTAGAATGCTTCTTTTTTGTCTTGGGAGGTTGTTTCAAATTGGAAACCGCAGATGAAAAAACCCCTCAGGTTCAGGTAACTCAGAAAGGTTAGCCCAAGAATTATAGAGAAAACCTTCATTATTAATTTCTACCCGATTTTAAGTAGCTTCGACAAAATTTAAAACAGGGGAACCTGTATCTTCAGGAGGAAATTCAACAAAATTTTGGGAGTTATTAGCCAAAAGAGTCTCATCAATAGCAATGTTTTCCTTTGCAGGAATCTCAATGATTCTATCTTCCTCTTTAGCAGCATTGTAATCTTCCACCACATCCCTTAAAATAGGACCTGCAACATCAATTAGAGCCACATTTTCCTTTTCATCATTAGCATTTGCCTTCACCTCAGTGTTCGAAACACATTTATGCACAGGAGCTTTAGGATTCTTATTTTTCCATATCAGTTTACAATCATGCACACCATGGCCTATTTTTCTATAATGGCTATAGAAATTTGGTAGATTCATACTCTATATTAGCACATAAAGCAAATCCTTCCCTTTTCACCAAAACATTATGGTTAAGGGGAAAACCTAGATCCATGTCAACAAGCACTCTAACAAATTGACAAAAGGTTTGATCCACCCTATAATTGGAAGAGGCGGAATCAATACAAGTAGGTGTCTCGAAACAGTTGGCCTCTAATATTCTTGTGAAATACCGAAAAATCAAACCCAAACTTGAGCAAAAGTATTATTTTGCGAAGCTGGATTGAAATCTCTTGTCCAATCAAAGAGCTTCAAAGAACCGAGATTTGAACTGATAGAACCAGAGGCTCTAACTATTTGCATATCCTCGATGCTAGAAAAAGTGAACTCATAGTAGCCTTTACCCAGAGATTGAACTCCCCAGTTTTTCACTTCATACCACAAAAGAGAAAGCTTTCTTTAGAGAGAAACCATTGTGAGCGGTTTTGAACCTTTTGGCCATATCACTCTTCCATATAAATTATTCTTGCATTCATCAAGACCAGCTTTGTATTCATCTTCTAGAATGGTAACAGAAGGTTTATCCCCTTTAATGATGGGTTGAGGAAGCTGTGAAGTTGGGATATCACAAACCCCTTTTAGAGCTTGAGAAAGGGACTTCAATGAATGTTTCGAAATCTCCATGTAAGAGGCAGAGACTGATGCATGGTTCCTAGAAACACGAGTGACTTCTGGGAATAGACAAGCACAATCCATCAAGAAGTCCAAAAGCTGTGCGAAGAAGAAAGATTAGGGTTTTAGCGGCGGTACATTTCTCCAATGAAAACGACAAAAAGCCATATACCAATTAACAAGTACCAACATCCAAAAAGGCAGAACGACATAATTCACAAACCTAGCAATCAATGATGAAATATTTTTAGAAACCAAACATCACCCGTACAACCATTATAATTTATAAAGGAAATCCGCAAATCTCAACCTTTTTCCCAACAACAACTATATGACTAGGGCTGTCAAAATAGGCTATACGGCCCTAAGAGCATCCACATTCATCATACCCATTTGGGTTCTTTAAATGTGACCCACATAATTTTTTATATTATTTCACACTTCTCAATTTTTTAAACAACCCATCTACAATTCTCAAATATCCATGTAACTCATCAAAAAATCTAAAATGGGTCCCACATTTAAAACAAATCAACTACATTTTTGCAATTTTATTTATTAATTTATTATCATGACCCACTTAATTGGAGTGAGTGTAGAAGTGTGCTTTAGTATGAAGACGTGCTTTAGTTCAGGAACGTGAAAACAAGTGAAATATCCATTTATTATTGACACAATTTCTTTAATAAATGTGTAGGAACTCTCAAAGAATACCGATAATCATGCTCTAAACGGGCCGATCCTGATGGACTTGAGCTTTCTAGAGTTGCGGCAAAAAGCCCGTTTGTAATATGGACTCGAGATTTACTATCTGAGTTCGGCTCTAGATGAGCTTCGGGCTACTCGACCCTAAACGAGATTTTTAATTTAAAAAAATTAAAATAAAAATCTCATAATATTTATTATAAATAAAATTAAAAATCATATTATTTTATACATAATATATTTTTAAGTACTATATTATTTTTTATAAATACTATAATATGTTTTTAAATACAATACATGTCTAAATTGTATAAAATAATACACAGATATTTAACATAAGAGAAAAACTAAATGAATATGATAAAAGAATATTGATTATATTAATGTATAATATTTAAAAGAGAAAGATTTAATAGAATAGAGATGAAATTTAGTGAGGTGAAAAAAAGTGTGTTATTTTTAGTAAAGACAATATAAATATTAATATAATTTTTTAAAATTTATAGATATGCGGGTCTAATGGGTATCCACGGTCCATATGGAATAGCCCTAATGGATAGCGGATTTTTCAGGGTTGGGTTAAAAAGGGCCTGGAAAATATGAGCTATAATTTTAAAGCCCAAACCCTATGATTTTCTAGGGCTGGTAGGCCGACCCATATGCGCTAAGCCATTTTGACAGTTCTATATATGACTATGATGGTCATAACTTATTTAAAGATATGTGTGTCATGGGTTCAATATTTACTTTTTATATTTTAGTGTGTAAATAAATAATTTAAAAAAATAATTTTTGTATATTTATTTTTTATATATAGGTCAATCCAATCCAAAAAAATTTGTTATTTTTCGGATCGATTTGGTTTGGGCTTTATTGTAAAATATAGAAATCCATTCCAAATCAATCTATTTTTTTAATCAGTTTGAATTTTGGATTCATTCGAAACCAAATCAAACCGGTTCACGAACACCCTTAAAACTAGTAAAAAGACCCGTGCGTTCGCACGAGTCAGACAATGTTGTATATATTTATGCAAAGTTGTATAAATATATATATATATATATATATATATATATATATATATATATATATATATATATATATATATATATATATATATATATATATATATATATATATATATATATATATATATATATATATATATATATATATATATATATATTTGGGGGATGTAATTAATGTCTACTTTTAATAAAGTTGAATAGATTGGACCTAAAAAGTTGCTTTAGAAAAAAGGGAAAATATAATTGAAATAATACTTAATTATATAAACCAAACGTGTAGAGAATATTAAACAGCAAAAACAACAACTTGCACGTGTATGCATGGCAATATTTCATCTCTCAATAAATTAACATAAATGCAATACTTATGACAAAAAGAGAAGCATGCTTCAAATAAGATTTCCATCTGACCAAGAGATATGGAAATTATTCATCTAACCCACAGTTTTCAAAATGTATCGTGCAGCGCATGCAACTTTGGAAACTGGATGGATTGATTGGAAATTGTACATTACAACATTGCATGCGTTTGAAAGTAAACTTTTCGTCTTATCTCTCACTCTCTTGTTTGTTGAGATTAGAAACCCTAAGGGCGCTGCCACCGTTTACAAAATTTGCACTCTACTTCAACTATCAGAGCAATGAGTGGTAGAAGAAAACCCTACAATGGTTGGATTTCAGACGATAGCGAGTCAAGCATTGGCCAGTAACTGATTTTCCTTGTTTTATCATCTTATTTTGACTGTATTGTGTATTTTTTGATATCTCATTTGATGATGCTTTAGGGTTCATGATTTGGGTTTGTTTATGTTATAATTTAGAGAAACTTTTAGGAATTGATTCGTATGGATATTTCAAATTTTATAGTTTTGGTTGACTGTTAGGGTTCATTGATAGTGTAAATTCATAAAGATCATTGCGCGATTTTTGATCATTAATATACTCAGTTGTGTTCAATCAGAGGACTATGGAATTATGATTTAAAATTGTAAATCGTTAAGTATTATGTTTATGTATATAGTATGTGGTGTTACTGTTGTTTATATATAATGCATAATGTTGTAACAAACTTAACACTATTATTTCAATGGGGAAGAAGCCATGGATGTAATTCAGGGACTTGTTAATGAGGTTGGAGAGTGTTATGTAAAAAAAGTTCTGCTAAGAAAGGTCAAGAAGGTAATACACTTGATAAGAAATCGGTTAGGTTTGCAGAAACTCAAAAAAGTCCACCTAAAGATGTTTCAACTTTCAACAACATGAAATTTGTTATGAAGGTTGAAGAGGTTGATGTCTCTATTGTTGCTAGAAATGGAAGTGTACCAATTAGAGGAATTATGAAGAAGTCTAAAACTATTGTTGACAAAAGTGTTGTCAAGAAAGCAAAGGCCATTGAGAAGAGTTGTAAAAGCAAGACAGAGAATAAAGAAAGGTTACAAATGGTAGTAAGAAAACACAAATCAAAAAAGTAAAGCAGGCAAAAAATCCGTTCAATGTTAGAATAAAATGTTTTGGGGAGAAAAAAACATATTGCTGGGATATTAATACAAAATTCCAAAAGCAAAAAAGAAAATGTTCAGGTAATCCAATTCCAAACTTATCCGTTATGTGAATACAATGTTGTTTTGGAAAATTAATCCAATGCAATATGTTTATATAATTGCAGTATTTCCCAAGGGAAATATCAAAACATTGCTTCGGAATGAATCAGAAGGATATAACAATTAGAGTTGTTGACTTACGTGAAGAATTCAATTGTATAATCAAGACAACAACACGTATGGGGGTACCAAGCTCAACTGAGAAATACATGACCAAAGAATGTCACAACTATGTGAAGATCAAAGGGTTTAGAAATGGCGACAGATTGATTTGTCAAATGAGATGATTTTCTCTGTATGTGTATGTCACATTGAAAAGGAAATGATGGAAAAGAACAACGTCGAAGTGGGGATTGTGAAAAGATGTTATTAAGAAGTGTCTAAATTATGTTTTATTGTTTTGTTTGGTTCTTTTTAATTATGTTTTGGGATGTTATGTTGTCTATGGGTTGTGTTAACACCCTTTTGGATGTTATTTTGTTTTGTATGAATTTAAGAAGACATGGTGTCTTATGGATAATAGTGTACTTTATAATGTGCTTAAATCCTCATATTTAATGTATTAATCTGTATTTCATATGGTGCTTGAAAAACCTATATTTGTCATATGATAGTGAGATTAACCTTAATTTCTCAACAATAGCTTTATTATTTCTTAAAAATATAATAGATTCTATTAATTTTGTCAAAGGAGATTTGACAACATTAAATTCATAAGTGATTTTTGACAAAATATGATTTACCATAAAAATAAACAAATAAGCATTTAAAGACATTATATGTTCTATAGTTTATAATATATAATAACAATAATTAATGTAGTTATACTTTATATTTGATATTTGGAGATAATTGTGTCGTCTGAAATACATGCCCATAACTATTTACCGGTTCAATATCTATATGTGTAACTACAACTATATATAGAAAGTTTTGAAATAGTGCAACCAAATACATATTATCAATTGAACTTTGAAGTGGGGGTACCCTTTGTTCCTCCTCCTTCCAGTAGGTAAGTGTTTCTTGCATGCATAAATATACTACCTTTTGAAAGCAAAATAATAGTTATATTTTATCTATTCATGCATGCAGTAATATACTTCCTTATGTAGAGAGATATAATTCCACACAATTTTTATGTTTGGGCTTTTGACAGATCCGGTATAACATATATTTTGTCTGATTTTATTTTAACAATAATGATACCTTTGTTATTAATGATTTAGTGATCCTCAGAGAGACTACCTTCAATGGATGCATAAGTTCAAAAAAGAGTTTGATTAAGATCAAGAAAATATGTATCAAACTCTCATAAAATATGGGTTTCTTACTGAAGCCGAACGCACGGCTGATTATTGCGGGGAGGTAAAGTGGATATCGAATGTAACCAAATTAAACATGTTCGGACAAAATGCTTTGGTATATACATAAAACACTTGTATTCAATATTGTTTATGGTCTATTACATATCATAAATTAACGAGATAAGTGTCACACTGCAGAATATACCAATGGAAATATCAAGGACATGTTTTGGTAAGAAGCCAAAATGTAATAAGGATGGTGGATCTGACTGGTGGTGTAATACCCCAAATTTGTCCTGCCCTTTCACTTCTATTTGGCTTATACATTTTTCACTTCTAATTTCATTTGCATACCCTCCATTAGGTCATTTTACACCTCATGCATCACTAATAAATAAATAAATTAGGCATGGGATTAAAAACATCGAGGAACTAGGGTTTCTCTA